GTATTCAGATTGAGGAAGGGAACTGATAAAAAGGGATCAGTCTCTTCCACTCTCTGGAAACAACAAAAAGTCTACCCCTAATCAAATGTGGTAAATTTACAATGATGGTTATTTGACAGAGGTGATTTCTGTTCAATATTAAGGACTCTGTAATAGCTTAAGCGATCCAACAGTAGGACAAATTTTTCTCTTACTGTGCCAGGAATATTTTCATAAAATGACCTGCCTCAAAAATCAAATTTTATCTTAAAAAAAAGTTACACAAAATGTGTATTTTGCTCTGTAAAACATAGGTCTGTATTACCATGAAACTGTTTTACTTACCAAAAATGGAAATAGCTAAAGATGTGTCTTATTTATCTTGTGGCAGCTTCACACATCGCTTGGCACAAGACACCATATCCTTGGGTACCACAGTTTAAGATAATTAATCAAGAAGGTTGACGGCCATTTGTTAGGCAAGAGGGACAGTGTAGAAGAGATTCTCCTGCAGGGAGCACTTCCTGTATAGCACAGCTCAACCATAGTTCCTCTACTTTTAATCATTTTTAATACGTTTACTGAACATCTAGAGTTGTGTGCTTAATCCAAAGGAATCTAAATCATGAAACAAGCGGTATGGTATAGATCTGGTCCTGAAGAACTTGACCATCTTTTCAAAGTCTCAGTCCTACTATATCCAAGCATTATTTCACTGTTGTTTACCTTCTCTGAACTTTGTTCCCATCTCTCTCTTTCTACTTAATATATTAAAACTTAGAACAGAGCTCCTGCTAGATAGGAAAAAACAGGTCTTTGAAGGAAGAGCCTGTCTCATCCACTGTTCTATTCTCCATCATCCTTGGTCTGCTGCCCTATGCGATTCATAAACGTGTGGATATTCCCAATTTTAAAACTAGTTATCTAGTTTTTGCTATGTGACTTAAACTAGTTTTATATTGCCTGTTTTCACTATTGTTTAATTAATGGGCCATCCATTAAATTAAAAAAAATAAATACAACGGTTTCATTTTCCCATCTAGACATGCAAGTTTCCTAAGGACGGGGCCAATCTCTCACAACGCTTCAAGAAGTGGGTTTTCAAACTATGCTATGATTTCCTGGTCCGATGCCGGCTTTCCCCAGAGAACTTAAAGATCTTCAACTAAAAATGTTTGAAAAACACTGCTACAGGGAACTGTTGAGCAGATTATGGGTAATCACATTTACAGGTAATTTCATTTTTTTCACACAACCCTATTACGTAGCAACAGAATAATTTTAAGAGGGTAAACATTTAACCACATTCCCATTTCTACTCTAGGCCATTTGCAGTAGATGGGCCTCAGTGCTACCACTAGCTCCCACAGGCGGGTGATTTGGGAAATGGTAGGTCTGGCTCTCATTTCTCCTAAAACTGAAAATGAAGGAAGGATACACGTTTGTCTCCTCTTTCTTTTTATCCTGTGCATCTGAGAAAAGCCTAGCATTGTTCACACAATAAAATTTCACGACTTAGGATACCTCATCTGAGTGGGGAAGTTTTCTTCAGGAATTACTTTAGGCCAGTTGTTCTCAACCAGGGGAGACTTTGCCCCCCCCACCCCACCCCAGGGGACATTTGGCAATATCTAGAGACATTTTTAGCTGTCATGACTGGGGGGAGAAGGGGTGCAACTGGCATCTCGTGGGTGGAGACGAGGGATGCCACTAAGCATCTGACAATGCACAGGAGAGACCGCCCACAACAAAGAATCATCTGGCCCACAATGTCAGTAGTGCAGGGTTTAAGAAACCCTGATTTAGACTAAAGTTAGCTTATGGATTTTATGGACAAATAAAGAGGCTGAGGACGTGTCTATGGTTGCATTCCTACATCCCTTTCCCCAAACACTTTCTCTTGATATATAGAGTATTTTTTGAGATTCATTCTATCACTGTTTTTCAGCTAACTGATGCAAGTACATTTATATGGTGGGTCACACAGAACACCCCTTGGGTTATATGCCTGCATACTCACAGCTTAATGTACAGAAATTATACTCTCTTTCCCCAAATAGATTTAATGAAAATTTCTAAGATCAACTAGAGTTAGAAAAATCAGTAACAATGACTCCAAGACAACTCTCATTCATGAATTCTCTTCTGCAATAATTAATCCCCTGAAAAGGACGACATTTCTGAAGGAAATTATGGCAAGATTATATAGGAGTACTAATGCATTTATTTACTTATACACTTTTTTAAAAAATAATTTGAAGTAGCATTATACAAAAGGGAAAATATTTGTATACTTAAAAGTTTAGCTCTTCCTCTGTTGTTTCAATTAATTTGAGATTTCATTTTGAGCCACAATTTCTATCTAACAGGCTAAAACTTTCCGGTTTACTTGTTACGATCTTTTATAGCTGTGTGTTTTCAAGGGTTAGACAAGACATAAAGTTTTTTTGTTTGTTTGATGAAAGTCATAACCACACTACCTTTTCAATAAAATGGCCCTTTTCTAGGGTATAGTATTTAAGTCTGAGACTCTGCACTATTTGTTATTTGTTATAAAATACTCTTAGAGCTAGCATTGCTATTGGTCATCCAGGTGGAAAGGAGTATTAACACACAATGGAAAGCTGATTCATGATTCACCTCCTTTGTAGGGGATACTGAAAAATAATTCCAAATCTAAATTTAACCATACAAAAACAAAACTAAGCAATTAAATTATTTTTTGAAATAAGTCCTTCAATGTTTTATCATATTTGATAGCAGCTTTTTTTATTGGTTACAAAACCTAAGCCCATATACAAAATTAGGAACACATTTAGATGCCTCTTTTGAAAGAACGTTTTAGTCTTTTTTAACTGAGTTAAAAAAAAAATAAAAACAATGCGATTTTTAAACACTGTTTTGACAACTTAAAAGTGCAGCAATATACTTAGTTTCCTTTATCTATGAAATGGTGCAATTCCAATTCAAACCCGATAAGGTCACAACGAACTGAATCAAGCCAATGTGTACACAGGTCTGCACTACTTGACGCTAATGTTCATTTCAACGTTAGTTTGCACTTAGAACACAAGAGGAAATAGGAGTCGTCACAGTAGAGGCCCAATTTTAATCTCAATGTGTGCAAAATTTAAAAGGTAACTGTCAGTAAATATGGAGAGTCCAGAAGAAACTAACTTGGAAGGGGTACAATTTACAATATCAAGAAGATTTGGACTTTAAGGGTTTCACTGAAGTTTGTGACCTTAATTAGCTTTGTTATTCCTACTTTTAGTGAACACCACAGTTTCAAAAATTTAGACGACAGTGTCTGAATAGGATGCAGTTACCATATGAAGCTTTAACTCAAAATTTGGATAAAGAAAAAAAGGCACAATGAACTTCAACTCAATTTTATGTGCACAAGAGTTGAAAAATCTGAGCCACCTTAAAGAGAAATTGATTCTAAAATTTATAAAACCTATAAATAATCAGAGGCCAAACCACTATATTAAAACAGATTCTCTAGCAAGTAAAATCTTGCAGTTTAAACATACGCTTGTATCCACTTTAGATACAAGACAAAACTCAACTCTTTAAAGTGGCTCCACCTTGGCAGATACATACATTTTTAATGAACGCACACCTGCTATGTGTTGTTTATCAGTGAAAAAACCCCAGCTGATTCACAAAGCTCTGATGGCATCTGTCTCATCTTCATCACAGTAAATACACCCCCCACTGGATAACTAAGTTTAAATTTTCTATCCCTTCACATCAATGCATTGGGAAATTATACCCAGTAAACAACAGCAACAAAGCCATTTCTGTGACAGCACAAATTATTCCATTTTAAAATTTTCAAATCCATATTCTTTCATTAATAACTGGGTCAGACAATTTTACCAAAAGCAATGACTTTACATAGCAATACCAGATATTGCAGAATTATTTAAAGATCACTGAAAATCAGGTTTATGTTAAACAACTGCAGATTACCCCTCTACACAGATCCTTGTCTGAATGTTTTAATATGTGAATATGCTTTTAGAGTAGGATCTGAATTAACGCTTCCAATACTCAAAAAATGAAGTTTTATGACACGTCTAAATAGTTGCTGGTTTGTTGCCAACCACATTATCAAAAGCACTGGTTACTAAGTAAAAAATAGTTTAAGACTAAATTACAGTAAACATGAAAGCTCCACAGTTTAAACCCAACATAAATCAACCATATCCGATTATCAATTTAAAACAAAAATATTAACTCCTGAAAGCTGAAAGCAAGATATTTTTTTACATTACCAATGGGTATTTTAGACCTTTTTTTCCCTTTTATAGTTAGGGACTCTTGCTTTCACCTTAAACAGAAGTTCAAGTCCGTAACAGGTTGCAGCTCAGGTAAAATACCATGCACAGCATTTGATTACTTCAAAACAGCAGGAACACACAGGCTGAAGTTGAGTGGTCAAATAGGGCTTGCTGTTCTCAAAAATTAGGTACAATGGCGAAAGCATTACCATCCATATCTGAAGTTCTTCCTCCAACCCTGGCTTCTGAGGCAGATAATAAACACATCAATTACTGGTAGATGAAGTACAGTTGTTTAAAACTTATCTGTTTAATCAATAACCAAGTTTGTTTGTTTTTTTTAAGTTATTTTGTGTGTCAGTTCCACCAATGAAAATCATTTGGCTTGTACTTTAAAATCTATTCTTCCACGTAAAGAATATGAAAATATGTTTGTGGAGGACAATGATGGAGGCTCAGATCAGACTGCACCTCTTTAAAGTCTTCCAGCATGTATATGCATCATACCAAAGTTTCTTGATCCACAGCGCACCATTTTCCAAAGGAGTATCAGTGGGCAGCTGACATGCCACCATTGTGGAATATTCTTAACTGTAGACTGTATTTGTCAGCGTGTGGCACCAGGGAACAGGGAAAAAATAGGGTAGTTGAGATTGTTAGGGAGAATTCTAAAACAGTCTAGGAAATCATGCATATGCATTTACAGTCCATGTAATAGTGACTTTTGGCAACTGCAAAGTGACTGAGACATGGCTTGCTTTAGAAGCATCAAAACGAAGAGGCATGTGTGTTTTGGAGCCTTTGTTGTTGTTAGTTCTTGTTATTTTGGTAGCCATCTGGTGGTGCTTCGTACTGAATGTGGGAAAAGACGTTGCACTCAGTTGAACTTAAAAATTAAATTCTTTTGTTTGAAGGTTGGCTGTTGGGTCAAAATTGTAAGTACCTCCTTGTGTGGCTTCAGGAATGAGGCTAGGGTCTTCATCGATCTATAAAAAGCAAGGAAAAAAATCCTTATTATGTTAAGATAGTATATATTTTGATGTAAGCAAAATTAATTTTTTACCTCTTAGGAGAGAATTTTGTATGAATGCTTCAGTCACGTAAACATGTTTAAGTAAATATGGAAGTAATAATTCAATAAGCAATTTAGCAATTTAAAAATTGGACACACACTCCAACACTGTCCCTTGTTAAGCTCTTGTAGTTGTAGATTTACTTAACTTGTATGAACATCTCCGCAGAAGACAGATGTGGCAGTCTGCTTCCGTGAAGATTTACAGTCTTGGGAACCCTAACGGGACAGTTCTACTCTGTCCTATAGGGTCACTATGAGTCAGAATAGGCTCGTGGCAATAGGTTTGGTTTGGGTTTTTCTATTAACATATATATATATAATTTCTATAATTACTATTTCTTCCCAGTTAATAGATTACAAATGCAACAAGAATTGTTTTCACAGTTTTACCTTGTAATGAAGTTTCAGACATAGTATTTAAGAGAACTGATTGAGAGAGAACAAATAATTTTTTGTTGTTATTTAGATTCTTAAATAACTGGAAAAATTCCACCTCAAGAGAATCTCATTGAATATAGTATAAACTTTAGTCTTACTAGTGATAAAGGGAAAATTCTTAGTAAACTTACATTATTTATAGGTTTTAATTTACATGCAGACACACCATATTTTAATATATACTTACATCATCACCAGAGAAATACTGATCTATGATTTCAAATGCTAATTTATAAATGTCTTCATTTTCATGTTGCTGTAAAACTTCAATTTTTTCCAAACCTGATAAAATAAAATAATCAAAATAGCTAAGCAGCTACTAATCAAAACTATGATCATTTTAATTACAGCAATTCAAAGGGATTTGGAGCAGTTCCTCTCCCCTCACTCCCCACAAAATGACAGTTTGTCTGAAAAACAGATTAAAAACCTAAGCTTCTCTGGCTGGAGGACCGGCAGCCCACTAATTTCTCCCTCCTTAGAAGCCCTCGAGGTACACTGGTCTATGAGGTAAACAATCCAAAAAATACCTAAACATTCCATTTGACAGGTGAGGAAGCCATGGCACAGAGATATAAAGGAATATATCCCAAGTCACACAGCAAGCTAGGGACAGAACTGGAACCCAGATCACCCAAGACTCCTTTTATAAAACCATACTGTCTCACATAGTAATTTTAATCTTTTTCTTGGTTTTCTCAATGTCATTACTTATATATAACTACAAACATATGTTTTAAGAAACTTAATGATTAACACAAATAGAAGATAAAACTTGAAATTTTGAAAAATATTGTTTAAAAAATCAATAGGGCACTTATGTCCTATAGCCACAATGAAACTAGAAAATAATTTCTCAGAACAATCATCACAGAACGCCTTCATTTATATTTCCAATATATTCACTCTAGGCATCAGACACACACATCTGTAAATCTACACCTTAACTCAGTAACAAATATTATTCCTTGAAATGTCCTTTTGGCTAGGTTATTTTAAAACAGTAACTTTTTCTTCTCTTTATATAGTAATATAAAATCAGAAAAATGGGAAACCGGTGCCAAAGATAATGGATGTAAAATGCTTTATAAAATATCAAGTAAATACGCATTTTTATTGTAAGCATTATTCCATAGACAGAAGCAATTATGTTAATAAAAAGCCAAAGAGTAACAATTCTGACAATCACTCAAACTTTCCGGGTTGTTACGAACCTGATTACAATGCTAATTTTAAATTATCTTAAAACCAGAACAAGCACTGGATCAATAGTAAGAAGATTTGGATTTTAACTTGTTTCTATCACTGACAACTTATGGGACCTTGGACAATGCTCCTTAATATCTCAGGGATAATTTCTTGTTAAGAAAACCCCTCTGGTCTGAATATTCTATGATGCTATAGCATTTGTCTTCTCTTTAAACAAACAAACTGGTAGTATAATCATCCAAATTAGCAACAAAATGTAAAAAATATGACATTATGGTAAATTCATTTACAGTTTGGCCAATTTAGTACATATTGAATGGGGACCTGTACAAATAGAATTTTAAAATGTATGTTTCATATTACCAGAGAAACAATGATCTAGTACTTCAAATCACAGTTCTTTCTCATATTAAAATTTCAAAGTAACTTCTGTAGTAATAACTTTAGCATGCAGTTGTAGCAAATCATAAGAACCACTGTAAGTTACAGGGGTGAAACAAAACATCTAGATTAAAAAATCATTAGCCTTTTCCAACAATAAGGAAGAGTGCGGTATTTTTACACTAACGATGTGCCTTCAGCATTTGTGTGCCGGCTGCGCCCTCCCTGCCTCCAAGATATTTTTGTAGGTGTACTATGCTAAATTTTTTTTACAGCAATATGTGGAAGAGGATTGGCATGGCGGCACTTGTGAGGGTGCCATGCCGTGGCGCGGGGGTTGGGGGAGAGGGGGCGGGGGCAGGTCCCGGCAAACAAACATGGAAGGTATGCATTATTTGCAGAAAAATACAGTATTTCCCCAAACGGGGTCTACAGAATCACATGAAAATAGGCATAACATGAAAAAAAGGTGTTTCACTGTCAAGAAGTTTGAGAAATGCTGGGGTAAACAAAGCTTACAAGTTTCTTCACTACAGAGGTTCTCAGAGCTTTTAATTTGCTCTGAAGCATTGTGACTTCCAGAGGAGAATTACCGTATTTTTCTGCAAATAATGTGTCCACACATATAAACATGCATAGCATGCCCAGGAAAATAATTTGCAAGGAGGTTGCACGGTTGGGAAAAAACAAAACAAAAAAATGTGTCTCATGTGCATTATTTGCGTAAAAATACAGTAGTGTTTTATAAAAATCAATGCAAATCTCTAGGAGGGTTATGGAGTGACCTTCAGAACCAGTTTTGGTAAACTGGACAAATGTTTTCTGCAAAACCCTTTTGGAATGCTGATATAGAGAATAAAGAATAGCAACATAATCTGAGGACTTAACAGTGATGTATTCTAACAGTTTATATTTCTAATAAGTTGTCTTTAAAGGAACTAATGTTTCAGAGTTCCAGCGTTCAGCTAGATTTCTTCATTCAATTCACTCTTACCTCCACATTCTTCTATTATTTCAGCTATTGTGCTTGCTTCGTCACCAGCCATTATCAGAATGTTTTTCAGACCATCCAGAACCACCTGAACAACTTGAGAATCTTTTACTGACAGTAAATTACAGAATGGTGGTATTACATTCTGTTGTACAAGGTACTCAACCTAAACAACAAAAGAGAAAAAATATTTTTATTTATAGAATATCTTTTCCCCCAGAAGAACACAGTAAAGGGGTTAGAAACCATCAGCAACTCCTAACCATGTAAGAGTAATGAACTTTCCAGTAGTAACAATCATAACAGTTACAGTTTTTTCAAACTCACTTGATCTTTTCTGCCACTTATTGTTAAGTTGCTAATTGCCCAAGCAGCTTCTTTTTGTGTTCCAAAGTCCCCCTGGAGGTTGAGAAGAAAGTCATAAAATGAATTTTTTACCCCAAAAGTCTTGGTTATAACACATTAATAGATATAATGAACTCAGTATGAACTGACCTTAGCAAGCTGATGAATAATCATAGGGATTAATCCAGCATCTATTACAGCTTGAACCTGCTGCTGGTTGCCTGCTGTTATGTTGGAAAGGAACCAAACTGCTTCCTATAATTGAACAAAATATAGGACACCTTTATTTGGAAAATTATCTTTAATGCTTTTATATTTTTTATTTTAACATACTTTGTATATGCAATAACAAAATCACCTGAGCTGTGTTGAGACTGCATCTAAAAAGTGATAAGGTTATACAGAATTTCCTATTTTTAAAAAAGTTATTAGGAAGCTTCCATTCATAATATTTGGGCCCCATTAACCTGGCATCTATTTATTCAATAACATATACGCCCACTGTAAGCTAGACACCATTCTAGGCACTGTTGATATAGCAGTGAATAAAACAGACAAAAATCTCTGCTCAGAGTTACATTTCTGTGCATTAACCCAAAAAAACAAAACAAAACACCAAACTCATTGATGTCGAGTCCATTCTGACTCATAGTGACCCTAGAGGACAGAGTAGAACTTCCCCATAGGGTTCCCAAGAAGCAGCTGGGGGATTTGAACTGCTGATCTTTTGGTTAGCAGCTGAGCTCTTAACCACTGTGCCATTAGCTCCCTGTAAAAGACAGGTGATAGAAATAAATGTAAGACTGACCTTCCTAATATTTAGTTAAAACTACTTCTAATAAAAGTGAGTTGTTTTATTTAAAACATACTTACAAGATAAAATCATTCAATTATTTCACAAAAATCAAGCATCTAACCTCACAAATGTAATTCCAGATAAAGCCAGTTGAGACTAAGTACTCCTACTAGTTTTCCTTCTTATTGCGATAAAAAAAATATATAGTATTTGCCAATTCCACATCTTTTACATGTACAATTATTCAGTGACACTGATTACATTCATTGTGTTGTGCAACCATCACCACTATCCATTTCCAAATTATTCCACCACCATTAACAGAAAGTCAGTGCCCCCTATGCAAGGACTTCCCTTTTCCCCCTCCCTCCCACTCCTGTAACCACTAATAAACTCTGGTCTCTATATATGTGCCTATTTCACATAAATGCGATTGCCCTTTTGTGACTGACTTATTTCACTCAGCATAAATGTTTTCAAGATTCACTTATGCTGTAGTATGTACTGAGACTTCACTTCTCTTTATGGCTCAGTAATATTCCACTGTACGTACGGGTGGTATTTTGTTTATCTGGCTACATCAGTAGTTTCTACCTTTTGGCTACTGTGAATAGTTTTGCAGTGAACACTGGTGTATTTCTGATATTTGAATTTCATAAGAGAAAATATGATCATTACATACACGCTCTGGGGGTAGAAACCATTATGATACTCGTTTCTCCGGCAAGGGACAATACCAAGTTACCTAAGATCCAATCTTTCTTTCAATTAGTTCAGGCATCTGAAGATAAGTACGTTCAGGTATTCCATAAATGAAAGATAAAAAGGGTATAATTACAACTAACCTATTACTGTAAACTCTAAGAGGCTAACAAATAGTACTACAGATGTAGTGGGTTTTGTTCAGTATTGTAACTACAAAAAACCTGATACACTTAATCTAAGATTAAAACAGATCTACGCTTTAACTAAAGTTTTTTTTAGTTTCAACTAAAATTACATAGTGTCAAATGCATATCTTCTTCCTCCTCTACAATTAAAAGAATTGTAAATTCATTTTGCCATCTGTTATGGATCGAATTGTGTCCCCTAAACGTGTGTCAATAGAGACTTCCGAGAAGCACCACGCAGTCCCTCCACAACAAAGATCCAAAAAACTAAGCCAGAGAAAACAGCAATCCTGAAACCCTAAGCATCAAATGAAGAGATAAAGAACTCAGCCAAGCACCAAATGGAATAAAAACCTGACAGAGAACAGAGAGCGAGGAGACATACATGCAGAGGTCCACTATCAGCTAACGCAGCACAGATCTGCCATCTTGGACTCCTATCAGAGATCAGCGAACAGGGGTTACGAGAAAGCAGCTTCACGGAGCTTCCAGCAGGAGACAGAATAACCGGTAGACAACGATATACCCTTTCTCACCTCCCACCCTTCTTCACCCCCCACTCGGCCTCCTCTGCTCCCTGTGGCCACAGTCTCTTGGCTGGGAAGTACCGGCTGCTTGGATTCCACCCACCTGCACTAGCAAACTCCCTGAGCACCATTTGTTGGCTCCAGGTGTTGCTTTTTTCCGCTTCTTTTGATTTCTTCCTTACCTCTCACCACCTCCCCCTCCTTTCTCTCAAATACCTGGCTCCATGTGCCATCTTTGCTTCTTTCTGAAAGGCTGTGAAACTCCAGTCAAATGTGAAACTGCTTCTCGGTCCATGCTGTCACGCTGCTGCGATACTGGAGCTTTTTTTGTTTGTTTTGAATTGTTTGTTTTCTTTTTCTGTTCTCGAATTAGGAGCCCGTTCTAGCTGGGCAGGACTGCGAGGCTTGGGACCTACCCCCTCAGTTTCTGCAGATGCACAGAGAGATCCCTGAAGGCATTTCTTTTTTCTTGTTTTTTCTTTTCTCTTTCTTTGGGGGGTATTCTTGTTTGTTTGCTTTGTTAATTGGATTGTTTTGTTTTGTTTTCCCTATTTTTCCCTTTACGTCTTTCTTCATTACTAACTTTCTCATCTCTTTATACCTTCCCTCTCTTTCTGTACCCTGAATACCTGGTGCTGAGTGACAACTCTAAGCCTTCTAGCCAGGCTGTACTTCACCACCTGGGAGCAACTTCCCCAGACCTCGTAGCCACACCAGTGGGATCCCTGAGAGCTTTTCTTTTCTTTTTTCTTTCTAATTTTTACTTATTAATTTCTTTCTTTTCTTTTTTTCCTTCTTCTCCTTTTGGTTTTTCTCCATTTCATAATCTCTCATCTCTCCACTCCAATGGCCAGCTCCCCTGGCACTCTTTTTTGTTTGTTTGTATGTTTTTGGCTCCTGTTCCTCTCTTCTCTCTCTCCTCTCTCTCCTCCCCATCTTAACTCCACACATCACAATCTCCCCCTGCCATCCGGCCTACCTGCACTGTATGCTTAACATTACATCACCAAACAGCACAGGCACAGCCTACCGGAACGTGCCCTGCACCGATTACCAACCTACCCTGGTGGTCGTAGTAAGTGCCACAAACAACTCATCCCAGCACCTCCTCATCGGCTAGACCTGCCCTGCTGTACCATAACTGAGTGACTGACCCTGCCAATTGGAGAAGGTGAAAAGTGTCATGCCCACAGATGAGCAAACAACAAAGAACACACAGCCCGCATGCTCAGACATAGCCAAATAAAACAAAAAAACAGGACGAAACAAACAAATCTACAATCAATATAGAAGAAAAATACCTAACTACTGAATGCCCTGAAGACAGCAGACAATATCAAAACATTTACAAAAACAGGACAGGATGGTTCCAGTAGGTGTCCAAAATAAAACATCAGATAACTTTTCAGTAGAAGAAAAGGCACTAGAATGACCTCATAGGGAACTAAAATCTCTAATATTCAGAATCATATAACAGTTGAACCAAAAAGCAGACAAAAAATGAGGAAAAAACAGAGAAATTCATAGAAAATGCAGACAAATTCACAGAAAATACAGAAAAAATGGAAGAATTCAGGAAAATAACGGAGGAACAAAATGCCAAAATAAACTCATAGCTAGAAATCATACAAAAACAACAATTAGAAATACAAAAGATAAACAAGATTTCAGAAATGGACAGTGTCATAGAAGGGTTGAGGAGCAGGTGTGAAACGGTGGAAGACACAATCAGCGAAACTGAAGACAAACACTTGGATACAACTCTGAGGAAAACTCAGAAAAAAGAATGAATTAAAATGAAGACACCCTGAGAATTATGCAGGATACAATCAAAAGCAAAAATCGTGAGTGACCGGAGTTCTAGAACAGGACCAGAAAACAGAAAACACTGAGAGGATCACTGAAGAATTGCTGACAGAAAAATTCCCCAGTATCATGAAAGATGAAAAGCTGGCCATGCAGGAAGCTCAATGAACCCCATATAGGATAGACTCCAAAAGAAAATCACCAAGGCATATCATAATCACACTCGCCAAAACCAAAGACGAACAAAGAATCCTGAGAGCAGCTCGTGAAAAACAAGAAGTCACATACAGAGGAGAAACAATAAGACTAAGCTCAGATTATTCGGCAGAAACCATGCTGGCAAGAAGGCAGTGGGATGACATATATAAAACCTTGAAAGAAAAAAATTGCCAGTCAAGAATAATATCTCCTACAAAACTCTCATTCAAATATGATGGTGAAATTAGGAGATTTCCAGATACAACAGAAATTAAGGCAATATGTAAAAACCAAACTAAACTTACAAGAATTATTAAAGGGAGTCCTTCAATCTGAGAACAAGCAACTTCAGCTCACAGGCTGAATCTAGGATGCAGCATCATAACAGCCAGATACCAATCTAGGAAATGAACTCTCAAGGACTATCAAAAACCAAAAGAAATACAACACGGAATCAAAGCAGTTAATCTGTAAATGACAACAACATCAACAATAAGAGAGGGAATAAACGGTTTAGGTACAGAACCTTCTAATGGAGAGGAAGGCAAGGCGATACTAAGTAATAACAGACTGCTCCAAACATAAAAGACAAGGGTAAATTTCACGGTAACCACGAAGAAACTTAACATACTCATAAAAATAAAGAGGAAAAACCAAGTCTCAGTAAAAATAAAACCTCCAAAGCAAAAGAAATGAGAAAAATCCACAAACAAAAGGAATTCAGCACAGGAGAGTAAAAGAAACAAAATGTCAGCACCACAAAAAAACAGCAATACACTCATATAAACCACAAAAAAACAGCAATAAACTCATATCTATCAATAATTTCACTGAATGTAAACGGCCTCAATGCACCCATAAAGAGACGGAGAGTGACAGCATGGATTAAAAAAACAGGATCCATCAATATGCTGTCTACATGAGACAAATCTTAGAAACAAAGATGGAAATTTATTTAAAATCAAAGGCTGGAAGAAAATATATCAAGCAAACAACTACCAAAAAAGAGCAGGAGTGGCAATACTAATCTCAGATAAA